AAAATGGCATTGAGTCAAGCTGGAGGACGTAAAAACATACGGATACCTAGGATAATACCATTCGAAGCAAAATCTGGAGGAATCCTTCCCCTCATACCTATATTCGCTGCCCTTTCAGCTTTGGGTTCGTTGGCAGGTGGAGCAGGCGCTATCGCAGAAACCGTAATAGATGCTAAAAATGCCAAAAAGAAACTTGAAGAAGATCAACGTCACAATAAAGCTATGGAAAATTTAGGTTCCGGTTTGTACCTACGCAAAACAACTCGAGGATTTGGTCTGTTCCTAAAGAAACAACAGCAACGCAAAGGGCGAGTTCTTTACTTGAAAAAGCGAAAAAACTCCTACTGAAGCTACCCCATAGAGCTTTATACGAATGTGAAATTCAAAAATGTGCCCGTCAACTGAGAATTTCACATTTTCGTCTTCATGCGCGACACGTTGCCAACTCGTGGTCCTCGGCTGCGAGAATGTGCTGTATTGAACTTGGATTTTCGATTGAATGCAGGCACTCATTGGGTAGCTTACATTAAAAACGGCAATGCTGTATAATATTCTCTCAAACCTCCAATGGAATTGATAAGATATTTTGGAGGGGGTATAACGATTACATATAACAATGATCAGTATCGAAATTTCGACCAGAGTAATTGCGGACATCTGTGCCTACAGTTTCTGCTCCATAATGTCTGCAAGAATGGTTGGAGATAAGTCTTTGCGAAATTTAACCGATGCTGAAATGAAAACTTCATCGATCGACTATTGAATTGAGAATGCTAAACCTTGGGAATTATTGGATGTTTGGCATAGATTACCAAAGGACTACCAACATCGATTTGCTTTGCAGATTCGTTTACCATGTTTCATCCATTATCGACATGAGGTACCACCACCTACATCAGCTGCGTCATCGCTACAAAAATCAATGTATTATGGTCCTGTGAGTTCGCAAATAGAATGTTATTATTGGAGAAATAAATGATTTTTATTCAAAATCTTGTTGTTGTTTCAATCATTATTTAAGGAGATGTCATACTGACATTATATCAGTCATGTCTATGATATTAACGCTAACGAGTCGTTCTTCGACGCTCTCCATCGATTTCAATCCACCCATTCGATTAGATTCTGATTCTGAATATACTTTGGCTTTGCTCAGTTTTCATTCGTACAAGAGTATACCCAACATTGAAGAAGGTACGAAATTCTACTACTATGAAAACGCTGACAAAAGTAAACAGAAAAGCATCGATATACCTGTTGGATCTTACGAAATTGGTGACATTGAAAAATTAATAAGCAAATACATCACGCCTAAAACGTTCAATGAAAACCCTGAGGATTTTTTTCATCTAAAACCGAATAACAATACGCTGAAAAGTGAAATAATCTGTCTGAAGCACTCGATTGATTTTTGACCTGAATGTTATAAAAATTCGTAAAACAGCACCTACCCTGTGAAGAATACGTATCGAAAAGGATACAAATGGAATACACTTTTTACAAAGACTCAATCTCAAAAAACTTTTTAATCTGACAATTCTTATATAAGAAACTGACAAATCATGTTTCATTCATTTTTATAAATCAGAACACAAAACAGCCAATACTGGGTACTCCAAACTCCAAAATTTCATGAAATCTCGACGATTTTCAATACACTCCCACCTTTTGAGACAAAATGGAAGAAGACTCAAAACTCTAATTTGAAAATATCAATAGGTCAGTCTGTTGGGTTGATGAACTATTCTACCAGATCTTGTTTGGGTTTCTGTAGGTTCAGCTCTCGTCTGAACTTTCTTTTCTCTTTCCCCTTCTCTTCTGTTACTTCTGAATTTAAGTTTCAAAAGCTCAGATTCTTGAATATCCAACTCCAAAGGATACAATCGTTGAATTGGTCGCATCAAGTGTCCATTCGAAGTTCTTAATCTCACTAGTCTAATCTTGCCATCCTTCCTTACTAATATCTCTTCAATAATACCCAAAGGCAAATCGAGTCTCTTTAAATCTTCGTTTTCAATGAGAACTAAATCCCCTACTTTCACTTCTCGAATTTGTTTTCTATTATTGAATAATATTAGCTGGCTCAGATATTCGTTTCTGAATCTCCTCCTCAACATTTCTCTCAACTTCTGCAAATATTTCCAGTGTCTTCTTGTAGAATCAGCATTTATGTTGTCCAAATCAGTTTCTTTGATATCCTGCATGAATATCGACGGTGTTAATGGCACCAGATCATCATTATTTTCTGGAAGGTAAGTCAAAGGTCTTGCGTTTATCACTGCTTCACACTCGCATACAGCTGGAAAAAGTTCTTCATAAGTCAAACTTGCTCTTCCCAATTGTTTTCTTAATAACTCTTTCACAACATTTCATCTTTCTTTCTTAGGAATCCAAAAATATTCTCTGATTTTACAGAGTACAACTAGTACTCCTGCATGGCAGCTCTGTTGGTGGAAATGAAGAATAATTTTCTCAGTCACCAAATGTCTTGAAGGTAGTAAAATTGGATAAAGAAAATCATATGAATCATCACGTTCAGTGATTTCAGTTTTTATTCTGATAACACCTTTTTCATCCAAAAAAGGGGCCAGACTTTGAATCTTACCTTTTTCAACCCCATTAAAAGATTCACTCCGAATTATTTTCATCAAATGCACTTCAGCATTATTTAATTCCTCGGCAGAAAGATGTCCTGATATTTTCTGAGTTGGATTTCGACTATTATGAACAAACCTGAAAATCCAACCCATCATATTCAGATTTTGTTGGTATTTGGAAAAATACCTATAGAACATAGAAAAATCTGTTGATATATTCAACAATATATTTGCTGATATCTTCCTATCTCGGACAATCTCCTCTTCGTTTAATTCAAAATTTTGCTCTGGCCAATCATTTCTATTTCTCAACCAGGCAGGACCCTCCCACCATTTCAGCAATAATAGTTGATTTGACAAACAACCTCTCGATGGAAGATCAGCCGAAATCATGTGACCAGGTACATGAAACCAGAATGATTTTGAAGTAGATTTCCGGATTTCTTGAATTCTATTCCAGACGAATGGCTTCCAGATATCTTCTCGACGAATCCAAGCAAGAACAGTATCTGAGTCTGTCCAGCAAAATATCTCTAGATTCATTTTATTAACCGTAGAATCCAAAACAGAATTCAACAATCTAACACCAATTGTGGCTCCAAACAACTCAAGTTTGGGAATCGTTATATCTTTTATTGGTGCTACTCTGTTTTTGGATTGAACCAACTGTAAATTAACATCGTGTGATGATTCAGTTCTGAGAAAAATAACAGAGGCATATGCCTCTTTACTTGCGTCGCAAAACATATGCAAGCTTTTCCTAGTAGCAGCAGATATAGATATCCATCGAGGTATTTTTATTTTTCTCAAAAAAGGTAATTCCTCTACCCAATGGAGGAATTGTTCTTTAATATCTTCAGGAACTACTGCACCCCAACCAATTTTTAAAGTCCAGATTTTTTGTAGCAAAATACGAGAACATATATGCACTGGACAAATAAATCCAATGAGATCAAAAACCTTATGAGCAGTTGTAAAATAACTCTTTTAGTTATCATTTCCGCATTAAAATCTTTCAAAAATTCTAAATTTATCTCAAAAGTATCACTTCTCTTATTCCATAGCAATCCTAATTCAGGTGATACATCATTTCCCAAAAATTCAGAATCGGAATGGACTATAAGAGAGAATTCCCAGTCGCGCAGATCAAATTTACCAATTGACATAACTTGAGTAGAATCTGAAATGAAATGATGTAATTCTTCCTCACTGCTCACACTTGTTACGCAGTTATCAACATAAAAACGGCTCTTTATTTTTGAGATATTGGATATTCGGAAATTTTCTACCGGATGTTTGAGGAATGAATCGAGATGAAAATGAATAACTGCAGCAAGCATAAAGGGACTACAAGACAATCCAAACACTACTCTGGCATGTCGATATATCTGCAAATTACCCTCTTCATCGTACCATAAAAATTTCAGAAAATTTCGGTCCTCGTTCTTTATACTAATTTGTAAAAAAGCCTTTCGGATATCAGCAATCACACCAATCTTTTCAAGTCTGAAACTAAGCAATATAGAAGAAATCAATTCAATAAAATTCACTCCTTTTTCGAGACAGTGATTTAAAGAAGGATGTTTTTTTTTGGCAGAGCCATCAAAAACAGGACGTAATTTTGTTGACAAGCTGTTCAATTTCATTACATGACGATGTGACAAAAAATAACTACCAGTATCATATTCTATAATAGAAACCTTTTCTATAATCTTTTGTTGAAGCCATTCTTTAAACACCGCATCATAATCGTTATAACATCCATCGTTTTTCAATTTTTCATGAGATTATCTAGTCGTCGTTTTGCAGAGTGAAAATTATTTGGTAGTGGCGGATGCCCATCCATCCACATTAACCCAACTTCATAACGACCCTCATCATTTATGGAAATAGTTTCGAAAAATGTTCTCAATATATCGGTCTCATATTGTTTATTTGTTTGTCTTTCATTAGGATCTGCAATCCCTAAAACATCTAGATTTCACAAACTAGATAAATCGTTCGGACATAACAAAGAAGTAGCTATCAACGATAAAGATTCAGAAACATCAGACAATTCACTAGATATTTTACCCATCAAAATCCAACCAAGTTTCGTTTCCATTGCAACCAAACCACTTTTCAAGATATGTTGATTTCCAGTGAATAGTTTCCCTGCAATATCTGCGCCTATCAAAATTTCAATTGGACCATCTTCAGTATCAGATATAGAAACTTGGATGTAAGAACTCAGCGAGTTCTTACATCCAAGGACCCTCTCGAATCGAAATAATTTTACTACAGATAACAGTTTGACTAAGAGCTTCAAAATGACATTGATATTTCGCAGTAACTTCGGAATGAACTCCTCCAAAAAGAGCATGTATAATTTGTTCCTGTCTTAGCGATCCATATTCCATTTCCAGAGCAAGATTTTTTGAAATATGCGAATGATGAGAACCGGTATCTATGATGACTCTGACTAAACGTGAATTGCCCATTCCACAAATTCTGACAACTAACGTTTGCAAAAATACCCCATTGAAAGAATAATTGGATAAACTTTCTACTGTCTTAATGTTTTCTGAATCCGTCTGAGAATGTAGAATCTTCTCTTTAAGTTTCGCTATTTGATCGCACATTGAAGTAGCAGCATGCTTACCTTTACATTCAGAACATTTAATGTTTACTGAACATCTACGAGCAACATGCCCGAATCTCAGACATATATAAACTTATATAATATCTACCACCTTTGACCAAAATTTTACGTTTTTCATCAAACGATAATTTTTTAATTTCATTATCATCGCAATCAGTAGCAATTTGGTCGTAAAGATAAGTAAGTTTTGCTTTAGAACCCAAATTAGTCAATATCAACTTCAATAATTCTCAAATATAAACTTCAATAAGTAGGTCTTCTTGGCCAAAACGAGATTTGAACGAGATTTGAGACTCTCTATAACCTTAGGATAATTCTCAGCTGAAGAGGAATACATTTCTACCAGTTGACGATCTCGGGAGTTGGGTACAGTGGCTTGGATTAAGTGTTGAAACTTATCTTCAGTAGGGATCGATTCATCAGTATGAATTCGGCTGAACTGTGCCCAAAATGGTAATCAATTTTTAATATCGCCACAAAATTTATTGAGTTCAATTTTCGGTAACTTAATATTTCGCATACTTTGACTTGTGTTGACAGTGATGACAGAAGGGTTTTCAGAGAGCGTATTTTTTGGTAGATATCTATCATTTTTCATCTTAAGTCTATTATAATTACTCAACAGTTTATCTGATCTTGCTATCTCATCATCTACGTCGTCGGCAGGCGTATCTTCTTTCAACATCTTCTCTAGGAACTGCTTATCCAAATCTCGAATAACTTCAATCTCCTCATCTGACAGCTTAACATTCCCCATTACGACAGCTATATCTAAATCTGCATTTTCCATCAGTCGAACCGTTTCGGTATAGATTCGTGTGAACGAAGTTCGGTGGACATCTAAAGTCTTCAAAAGTTTTTCCATGTCCTGTCACGGTCGCCAAATGTTATTAAAATTCCTAAAACAGCACCTACTCGGTGAAGAATACGTATCGAAAAGGATACAAATGGAATAAACTCTTTACAAAGACTCTAATAACTTTTCAAAAATGCAGAAAATCTCAAAAAATTTTTAATCTGACAATTCTTATATCAAAAACTGACAAATCATGTTTCATCTATTTTTATAAATCAGAACACAAAACAACCAATACTGGGTGCTCCGAACTCCAAAATTTCATGAAATCTCGACGATTTTCAATACTGCAAATAGCTTGGCTCACATACTGGGGTTTTCATCTACTCCTCTCAAACCAAACGAACATCACGAATCCGATCTACCTGTGGATATCATTAAAGTACGCACCATACACATAGATAGCAACATTACGTTTGGAACCTTCTACAACGACACACAGACTCATACGATATAAGAATTTGCTGTTACAACGATTATCAGTGTGTTTCCTACGGTAAACATACCATTCGATTAGTACGAGCTGGAGATGATAGCAACTGTTTCAAAATAGAAGAGACTCCTGCTGCACCAACACCAAAAACGAAAGTTAAATTGGAAATTGAAAATATCGAACTGAAAGTTAAACGAATCTTTCCGCATGATCAAATTGAATTACAACTTAGCAACTTTTGAAAGCTATCCAAGCAGACACTCCTATTCTCATACCGTTCAGAAAATGGGAACTTCATATGCTGCCTGCTCTCACACAAGATGCAAAAAGTGAAATATGGGCCGTCAAGACTTCTTCGTTCCTCGAAAGCCCTCGCTCGAAAAAAATCGTGACAACACTAAAGTCAACAATGATCCAACAATATCCAATCATTTGAATATTACCAATATAACGCTCACTCTTAACGGTGAGAATTACCCCAAGGAAAATATGCATTTGAATTTTGCAAAGGGGAATTTTTCGCAAGCTTATTTCAACTACGCACAATTTGGTCTCCGCTACAAAATGACCAATCAACAAAGTTCTCTTTTTCATCGATTGTTTCAGAAGGGATGAGAGCATCAAAAGTTCCAGTGTTGATGTAAAACTTGAAATCGAAGCATCCGAGGGATTTCCTCAAAATACTAGAGCCTATTGCATAATTGTGCACGACACTGTCATAGAACACCTCCCACTCAGCGAAATTATTGAAAAATGGAACTGAACATGTGATTTTGCTTCAGTATCAATCGAAGAGTCAACATGAGAATAGCTGTTGTAGATATTCAAGGCTTCACCGTCGAGCAAAAATTCCGTCCTGAAGAAATAGTCATTGTAATTCAGTGTAGTAACTTTTTACTGCTGCCAAACACACCATTTTCCAGTTTGAGTAAAGGAGATCGTCGTACCACCTGTTACTTGGAGCGAAACATTCACGGATTGAGGTATTTCTCTGGCTTTGTGGAATATAATCAATTGGATGCCATCCTCACGGAAAATCTACAAGGTGTCGATGTCATTTATGTGCGAGGACATCAAAAACATGACTTTCTAACTGAAATATTTCACGAGTTGAATATACCCACACGCGTTGTGAATTTGGAGGGCTTTGACAACACAACATGGATGGTTCCCACATTAGACAACAACAGAGGTGTCTCACCCTGTATGCATCACATTCGCAAGCGAACCAACTACAATTGCAGTCTCCGAAACGTAGATATTTTATACAAATAGCTTTGTGATATATTACCAAGATAAAAATGTATGATAAATTTCTATTCAAAATCATTTCTTCTTTTTTATCTAACCTCACCGCCTTATGATACCCTCAACAAAAATAGAAAACGTATGCAAAACGGTCGAAAACGCAGAAAAAATGATCGAAAGCGCACAAAAAACGATCGAAAACGCACGAAAAACGATCGAAAACATACGGAACATCGTTTTCTTTCGAAACTTATGCAAAATAACGTATTTCCAAATGTCATTGTCGAATACTTCGCTCCTCCATTGCCCTCACGTTGAGTCCACAACGCTTAACCTCTCGACACTTTTGGATCGCCTTTTTCTCCTGATGATGCTAACTTGGTTGACAAAGATACGAGGATTAGTACCCTTTTGACATGTTGGAATGCTAGACTTCTGTTAAACTGACATGTTTTTTCTTAAAAGATATATTTTGACGCACCCTGTACACTTCAACGTCATGTTTTTTCTTTAAATGATGTATTTTGAGACATATCGTACACAGTCGTATTCCTAACCCTTTATTTTCAAACCGGCAACGCTATATTGCCCCATAACGACAAATTTTACAACCGGCAACGCCGAACCTGCCATGCTGGCTTTGGCAGCGTAAAACCTCGATACCATCTCCCTCTCTTTTTACCTCGATTACGTCATACGCGTCTTACATGAAATATCAATTATTTCCCAAATCTAAGTATATTTTCCTATCTTCAACATGATAATGATGAATACAGTCTACGGAAATAAAAAAAAAATGCTGTTAAGTATGATGAATGAGTCAATTTCGGTCCCGACAAAACTAACGCCATAAATACCCAACATTCGCAGTTACTTTCAATATCTTACGTTGGTGTAGAGGCTCATAACTATAATAAACTTTTTTTAATTAAAATCACGTGACTGGAACGTGACAAGGGGGTCGAGGGGTGAGGCAGAGTCGCAAGAGGGCCTGAGCGGTGATGTGGAGTACTAAGGGGGCCGAGTTCCATGCTTGACTCGCTACGATACTCGTTCCATCCTGCGTCGATGACGTCACACGTTTCTCTCCACTCACTAAAGTTTCTCTCTGAAATACTTACCAGCGACGCTCGACTTTGAAGTGGTCTCGTACATACGTTGTTCATCTACTTCCGTTATTTTGGATTGCTATGACGTCAGATTCAATAAAAAGGATTGGCAAATGAAACATTGGCGTAACTTTGCTTCGGTATTGAAAAAACATTCCTTTAGAAGAAGAGGATTGGATACGGCTATTTTTAAAACGGACACAAACATTTTACGCATTCAGTGGAATGCAGAAAAAGACACTTTCAGTTTTGAGGTTGAAATACCAGAGTCAAATTGCACAAAATAGGCCACTTTGTCAGCGGTGGCAAAATTTTTTGATCCACTGGGATTATTAGCTCCATTTATTTTATATTCGAAATTTTCAATTAAGGCTCTCAAATATTGGCTGGGATGAAAAACCCCACCAGAGTATCGTTAAAAAATGGAAAATTGTACGCTCACAATGGAGTGAACTCATAAACTTCAACGATTGGTAAACGACCTATCATTATTTTAGCATTCGCGGGCGCAAGTACAATAGGTAACGGTGCGGTAGTATACTTGAGAACAGTTTCATTTTCCGGAAAAAATGATATTAGTGTTCAGCTGATTTGTGCGAAATCCAAACTTAGTCCAACGAATGATACGACTCTTCCTCGGATCAAACTTCTTGCTAGTCATTTTTTGTCTGAATTAGTAAAACTAGTGGTGGAGACTTATCAGGACTGTGTATTGATTTCTGAAATCTTGGCTTTCTCTTATTCTTGTACTGTGATTAGCTGGTTGAAAACACCCTATTTGAAAGACTTTTGTGTTAGAAATCGTATCTCACAAATCAAAGAGAATGTAAAAAATGCCCTATGGCACTATATTGACGGTAATCAGAATGCTGCGGACGCTCTATTGCATGGTCTCACTCCCTCTCAATTGATTGATCACCGCATATGGCTCATCGGACCCTAATCAATGAGTTGTTCAGAGAACGAGTGGCCTGATTTTTCAGAAAACGGAGTTGAGATTCCGCGCCAAAATGAAGAATCAGAAACTTAAATTGTGGAAAATGCGGAAATTTACGATACTTTTTCGAATCTAATGAAGAGGTTCATTTTTTTTGAAAATTTCACGGATTACGGTTTCTGCTCGACGTTTCTATAAGAAACGAAAGAAAATATATAATTTTAGCAAGTGACTTACAAAAGGCAGAAATACTTCTAGTCAAACTAGTACAAAATGGACATTTTGAGTATGATTTGACGCTTTTGAATGAAAATAAAAAATGCATTTCCGATTTGAAGGGGTTGGACTCTTTTGTGCAGGATGGTTTGCATAGGGTCGGGGGTCGAATTGGGAACTCTAACTTGGGATTCTCTAAAGAGCATACGTATATATTACCGGCTGAAGATGTTTTTACAGAAAGACTTGTGGATTTTAATCGTGAAATATATTTACATAAGGGTGCCTATTCATTAGAAGTCATGTCACGTCAAAAATATTGGATTTATAGTAGAAGAAATTTGATCAGAAGTCGTGTTCATAAGTGTAATTGTTGTTTCAGGTTGAACCCTGAAATTTAAGAGTCATTGATGGCTAGTTTACCATCAGTACGGGTACAAAAAGCCAGTGCTTTTACTAACACTGAGATGGACTATTTTGGCCGTTCAAAATTATTTTCGGTAAGCGGAAAAATTCTCTAATATATAACAGTTATGTGAGTCTGTACATTTGTATGTCTGTCAAGGCAATACATTTGAAGCTAGTTAGCTCTTTGTCAACCGATTATTTTTACAGGGATTTAAAAGATTCATATCTGGAAGAGGTCCTGTTCGTGCTCTACATTCGGTTATCATTGGATTTCAACTAGTCGATCGAATGGTTCAAGATTTTTGGAACCGCTGAAGGTTAGAATATTTGAGTAGTTTACAAATTCGTATTGGCCGTTAGCTGTAGTTACCACGGTTCACCCAGGTAGCGACGGGGTTGTGCGTAACGAAACTTTAAAACCGAGCAAAGGCACTTTCACGCGACCGGTGGTAAAATTGTGTCCACTGCCCTTAGAGTAAAAAAAGCATGTTCACTCAATGGGAATTGAGTTAGAAATTATTATTATTTTCTCCAGAAGGTCTGGAAATGGGTTATTGATATAGAGTGTAGATCTAAATGGTATAATAGTATAATTTATCATTTATGGTTATTCCAGCACCTGAGTGTTTATTCTGTTTTTTTTTATTAAATTCTCTGAAAAATAATCGTTTTTGACGATTGACGAAATTGTGAAATTGCTCATAATCTTTATCCCAACTTCAATTCCCAACCAAGTTTATCGAGTAAACACAAATTGGACCTATAAGCCAAGGAAAAGTCTCAACAACAAAATCTCAATCTGTGAGTATAATTTAGATTTCATAAATTTCAAACTGAGCGAAAAGGGGAATATTTGAAAGACATTTTTTTCAAGAAGTCGATGTTTCTTGATGATTTTTGGGTTTTCAATATTTCAAAATCTGAAAATATGATATATACAATTTGATCCACATAGAATCTGCTCAAGAGTAATAAACGGCAAAACTGAAAAGTTCACTTAAAAAAGTTACTGCAAGGCGAGTTACCCGGGCCCCTTCGGCGATGATGGAGCAGGAAAGAGAGATCCCTCAGGCTTTTGGGAAGCTGAATTCTTTAATTAACATAGGAGAGATATTGAGATCAATCAATGACCTCATACGCTTGCTACAAGACACTATAGGATATTTCGAAACATGGAGGGCCTTTGTGGAATTTCTCCAAAACATCAATAATTACAATTCATAATAAAGAAATGTATATATGTATGTTTTGAATTGTTTGAGATTGTATTGTTTTGAATTGTTTTGAATTGGCAACACAGACGCACCTTTGAAAACGCCTGACAAAAATCTGTTAACCACAATTTGAACAAACGAGAGTTCTTACTCCAGATACTCACGAAAAGGCACGCGCCTTTTCCGGGAGTATCTGAAGTGAATCTGAACGTGAGCGAGTGTGAACTTTGATAGACCTGAATGCCAATTCCATGTTGAGTGACACAAAAGCCCAAGACAGGAGGTATCAGAAGCAGTTAAAGCTATTTGGAAGTCTGCACATCAAATTTCGAGGCCTAACAACGTGAGAGACGCTCTGCACCTTCTTCCCCCGTTGAGGTCGTAAGGGCGCGTCTTGCTCGAGGGATTTTCCTTCCTTTTTCCACCATTCCCCTGGAATGTATGGATATTTTGAAATGTAGATACAATGTATATAGTAATTGTGAAATAAATACTTTTTGACTTTTTGGCATAGTATGAACCTTTGAACAGTCTAATAAGCCAGTAATCTGGCATCTAAATTTTGACTGAGTATAAATTAAATGTTTGAGAAAAAAAAATCAAACATCCGCTCATTTTCTTTTATCAGGTAACAACCGTATGTCAACACTCCCTTAAAATATTTCAAAAACCTTTCAACTGCATACCTATGCGATATTCCGTGATCATTATTGAACTAACTGAATTTTTTAGGTGTACAATTTACGATGAAGTTTTCATTGTTGAAATCCATATTCTGGTTTGCTTTCAGATAATCAGATTAGATTTTAAGATGTATCTTCCGTTTCGTTCTGAACTTTTTTCTGTACTGAATCACGTGTAATTGAAAATATTTAAATATTTCATCTATAGTACTGAATTTCGCTAATACTTATAATTTTCAAAATATGTTTTTTATTTTGATTTTCTTTTGAACAACCTACCATGGAGGTTATGTATGGCGGCATCTGCCCGCGAATAGCTCAAGCAATAATTGACAGTAACGTACAGTACCATCTGCCCGCAAATGGATCAAGCAATAATAGATAGTTACGTACAGCGTCATTTGCCCGCGAATAGATCAAGAAATATCGATGAGGTTACGTACAGCGCCATCTGCCCGCGAGCAGATCAAGCAATACCAGAAACATATACCTTTCAGTGCAGGCTACTACTTCAAGTGTTCCTATGACAACAGTCTTCCTCATTTCAAAAGCTATCGAGGTGAAGACTGTATGAAATGATTCGCCGATGAGTTGTCTGATATTGCAGAATTTTTCGAATGAAAAATAAAGGATATTGAGCCGATGACAGTGCCCATGAATAATATCGGTTCACCCTCAAAGATGTTATCATGTACGATCATGACCATTATACAGGGCCGTTTCGCATATTTGCACACCAAGCCCCCTGTAATGTCAATTTTCGATAATTATTTGTGGTACCCATTCCTTTCCATAATCTTTCAGGATACGACAGTCACTTCTTTATAAAAGATATCGCAAAAAGAGGATGTGTGAGCATACTTCCCTCAAATGAAGAAAAATACATTTCCTCTATACAGAACGATGCTGAAACTAAAATTGAATTTCGATTAATAGATTCATTCCGATTCATCGTTGGATGAATTACTATTCACATTGGATCGAAATTATTTGGAAATTGAAAAAATTATTCATTTATAGTAAAACCAATAATGATTGAGAGTAAAGCGCGTTGTCATATCTAAATTTTACGTTACCAGTTTATAGCAGAATCAAAATATAGTAAGCAGTAGAGTTGTAGGTTGTGGCAAATTATAGATAATACACAATACTAGTACGATTAAAAGGTATTATTTATGACAAAAATCAGTAATGAGCTTGTAATGAGTAATACTTATACATTTCCTGATTACTGATCAGTTAAAATTCATTATTTTCTGTATAGTGTTAGATATTTATTACAACTAGTGGCAACGCTGTACCCAACGATATTTCTGTCTTTGTCACTTTACCGTAACTTCCATCTCATCGTTGCAGTCCTCACTAATGTACTTGCAGCCATGAGCGTATCATTGGTTTGTGAATTATACAGCGTGAATTGTACGTTTTACAGTTAAGTTAGTCATCAATCGACGTGTTGTGATAACAATTGGTGAAAATAATAGTGCTAATAAGTGTTTAAGCGTTACATAATTATATTTCTACACCGTTCTCAAACTACTCAAAAAATGGGAGACATGGTCGGGCCTTCCACGTCGAAAAAGGTAAAACGGTCGGAGTTTCGGTCAGTAAGAGAAAAACAAATTGTACTGCGAGTATTTCACTGTCTTGAAAGAGATCATCAGCCACCAAAAGATGACTTTGTGCATGTGTGCTGTAATTCTACGTGTGTACCTCCGAATAACCAACCGGGCATTTCTACATCATTAAGTTCCACAATTACAAAAGATAAATCAGTTGATATGTGCTCTGATTATACCGGTGTACGAAAATCATAGATTTACAAAATACTAAGAGAAGCAGAAATTCATGGGGACGTACAAACGCCAAAAACTAGTACCGAACGAAAAAAAATAACAGTTGATGAAGAAGCCAAAACCAGTATACGCAGAACTATTCACAGTTTCTTTTTCAGAAATGAGCTGCCCACACTACAAACAGTTCTGGAGGCACTTAGCGATCTTTACCCAAAAATGGGTAAAGAAACTTTTAGGAAACTTGTACACGAAATGAAATTTACGTACGGAAAAGTTGACAGGAAAAGCATTCTCATTGAATGTCAAGAAATAATAGCATAGAGAAGAAACTATCTAAGAAAAACTGACGAATTTCGGAAGCTCAAAAAAAAATTGTACTTCATGGACAACAAATGGGTTAACCAAGGACATACGGTCAAAAAAGTATGGCAGGATGGTAATATAACAAGTGCACGACAAGCCTTTATTGAAGGTTTGTCAGTTGGGTTAAAACATTTCTTTCATTCTTAACCCTCTCAAAAATTAATAAGCACGCCCCCGATTTGCTGTCAACTGGGCTTACTTCTACTCTCAATCATTATTGGTTTCAGTATAGATAATGAGAAATTGGCTCTTCTCACCAGAAAGAGGGTTTTTCCAAATGATTATGTGAATAGGATGGAAAAATTGAACGACATCGGGTTATCATCACGAGAAGAATTCTGTAATAAATCAAATGATGAATACATAACAAATGAGAAATAGGCTCACGCAAAAAATGTTTGGAAATCATTCAAAATTACAAATTTGGAATCTTATGCGGACCTATATTTGAAAACGGATATTTTATGGCAACTTATGGGTTGGACCCCGTATGGTAATATACTATGCCTGTGTTCACGTGGGATGCCATGATGAAGTATACGAAATGTAAATTACAAATCTCAAAAGACATTGACATGATTATGTTTGTAGAAAAATAGATATTCTGAAGCAAATAATAAATATATGGAACCATACAATCCCGAAAAACCTTCAAAATATCTTTTATATTTAGACGTTAATAATTTATGTGTGGGCAATGCCACAATTTTTATCTTAAGATAGTTTTCAGTGGGTTGAATATTTTGATAAAGATGTAACTGAAATTCATGACAATGCTTCAGAAGGCTTACATATTTAAGTTGATTTGGAATACTCTGAGAGATTATATGATTCATATAAAGATTTTTCGCTTCGTCCAGAGCATCAAGCACCACCAAATTCCAAACAAAAAACATTGATAGGTACCCTGTATGATAAAAGAAATATATTTTGCATTATCGCAATTTGAAACAAACATTGAAAAACGGTTTGATTCTAACCAAAATTCATCGGATTGTGAAATTCAAACAATTCGCATGGCTGCATCTCTACATCAAGTTGAATACTCGTCCTAAGGGCTGCAGCCATCAGTTCTTTTGACAAAAAATTATATAAGCTAATGGTTAATGCTATTTTCAGAAAACGATAAGATACATTCAGTTATACAGGGTGGTCAAACCCTGCCCCCGATTTCACATTCGAGCCGTTTTTTGATATAGACTTGGGGGCTATTGAATTGAGGAAGGCCAAACTTGTTTTCAATAAACCTTTGTATATCGGA